GCAGTAGGCAGCTGATCAATGATTCTCTCTCATCACTGATGTTTCTATCTCTCTTTCCCTCTCTCTCTGAAATAAATAAAAATATATTTTTTAAAAAACAACAACAAAAAACACTTGTGCTCAGGATGGCAGTGTTAATCCCCAGAGCTGCCACTGTAGTCTGAAAGTAGGGACAAAGGATTTAGAGACGGGAGCAGGGGAATATATACTTCTAGAGCTGGCTTATTCTATATTACCCCAGAACCCTGACTGAGGAGGTGTTGTTTCTTTAGACACCTTTATTTTGCAGTTTAACACATATTGGAAGTTTCTAATTTAAATCTATGCTTTTGGATAAAATGGATTGGAGAGATTGAATTGCTATAGGCTAACGAGTAGCAACAGAGGTCACCTGATTCTGAGGAACTCTATCTTTGTTGAAAGAAGTTTTAGTGTGAAAGAATGAAGTAAAGAAAAAAAAAATCATTCAGGGACTACCTCCACATGCTAGGTACTGTGGGGATGCTTTTCTATCTTCTCTCTCTCTCTCTCTCTCTCTCTCTCTCTCTCTCTACATATATATATATATATTATTGATCTCAGAGAAGAAGGGAGAGGGGGAGACATAGAAACATCAATGAGGATTGAGCCTGCATGTGCCCTTGGTCGCAATCGAACCCAGGACCCTTCAGTCCACAGGCTGATGCTCTATCCACTGAGATAAACTGGCTAGGGCTATCTTTTGTCTCTTCAAGCCTTGTCTTTTCAGATGAAAAAATTGAGGTTCAGAGAAGTTAAATGACTAGCCCAAATATCACACAGCAGTGAGAGGATGGTTTTTGCTGAGCACCAAACCAGTTAGTTTACTACACTTGTTCCTTGGTGGTTAGGTGGCTGATACCCAGGATTCTTATAAGCCTGGCTCTTCCACTCTCTCCTCCCACATTAGTTGGGAATACAGGATTTAAGGTACTAATTGTGGAACTGAGTGTGCCAGCATGTTTTTCTTGACCTTTTTGGGACTTTGATATAACATGAAGACTATTATGTTGTTGGTTTTACTTCTCCTACATCATATTCAACACCAGTGGATAGTGTCCAGGGTATAATCCATTCATTGACAGATTTCTCAGCCATTTTAGAGCAGGTTCTCTATTAGCTTCTTCCTTATGTCCATAGTTAAGAAATTTGTTTGAGCTATTTAAACATGATTGTGGGAGAAGTATATAATTACAGTAAGCTTTTGACTAAGCTAAAACAAATCTTACCTGTACCTGAAAAACTGGTTGAGGAGGATTGTAAGTGGTAATGTTAGTTTTTCTGTACATCAGTTCAGACCTTTTCCCAAAGGAAGACCAAAGCTGATTGAACTGTGACCACTACTTAGCTGCCAGGTATTAACCACTATGGTTACTCAGAACCCTAGATCGATTCAAACCATTGACGTTGAGTTGAAGTATTTTGTAAGCTAAATATTCTAAATTCCTAAACCTTTTCCTAGGGGGAAGATAAGATCTAGCTGGGCCTAAACCTTTTCCGAGGGACCCCCACCGGGCCTCTAGTAGCTAAATAAATACATATTTTGGCTCATTCTTTCTTTCACCAGGAAATACACTGAATATTATTGATTTCAGGAATTTCAATTATCCCTTCTGAAGAATTTGTTGCTCACTCAAATATCTGGGACTTCTTTTCTGGTAATCTACAGGACCACAACTTGGTCTATACTCACTGGTTGTACCAAATCCAGGTGTAAACAGAAGGAGAGATCTGAATAATTGTCTAGAAAAAGGCTATTGAAGATGAGACCATCTTTTCTGACTTCTTTCAGAGGGATTGGGATGTATAGGACGGTGAATCTGAGGCTGACAGGCAGGGTGTGTGTGTGTGTATTTGTATCTGTAAATATCACGTCGTTGTTTACTGTACACTGGATTCTCTTCATGCAAGACCTAGTCAGGCCAAATCAGGAGGAATTGTTCCCTTGTTTAAAGCCAAGAATAACATTCTAACCAGCAGGGAACAGAGGTCAGTTCAAGTCAAAAGCTCTTGGGATCTACAGGACATTAAGAACCTTGAAAGAACTGAGTTTAATAGAAGGAAGCCAATATGTACGTCGAAGAAAGTGTTTGAAACCTGTATGTCTCTTATTGGAGCATGGCTTATTTGTGAAAAATTAATAATTGTCATAACAGTTGGCTATGTGATGAGTTCATATCACCTCCTGGTCATTTAACTATGTATTTATTTACCTCCTGCCTGCATATTGATTTGTCTATTGTTTTTGTTAGAAAAAGAGGAAAATGCCCTAACCAGTTTGGCTCAGTGGATAGAGCGTCGGCCTGCAGACTCAAGGGTCCCAGGTTCGATTCTGGTCAAGGGCATGTACCTTGGTTGCGGGCACATCCCTGATGGGGGGTGTGCAGGAGGCAGCTGATCGATGTTTCTTACTCTCTATCCCTCTCCCTTCCTCTCTGTAAAAAATCAATAAACGTATTTAAAAAAAAAGAAAAAAAAAAGAAAAAGAGGAAAATAATATTCTACCAATATTCTGGTGTCTTATTCTACAAGCAGCTTCAGAAATACTCAGGAGAGGGCTGGAGTTGAAAGATGATAGGTTAATTTAAAAACACACACCCTTTACAAAATCTGGGGAACTTCAGAGCTGGCTGAAGTTTTGTTTCTGGGATATTTCTGTGCCTACTTCTCTTCTTTTTCCATTCAGTGTTTCCTCATTCTGATGCTGGCCTCTCACCCCACCAAGGCTACTCAAACTATTTTCTGGGGATGATTCTAAGTTTGTCCTATTTTCTTCTCTGGGACTCATTTCTCTGGTCTAACTTGAACTGGTTCTGGGCCAAAGTGATCATGTGAAAGCTTTTCTTCATGGCCTTTATTTCTTGGCTCATTTTATGCACTTTGCCTGATTCGTTTTGCTTCTCTCATTTTTCAGTATTGTAAGTTATGCTGCCTCACTTGGAAGATTCTAAAGCTCAGATGCAGCCTCAGTCCTCTTAAATTTCACTCTGGTTTATAAAGTGCCTTTTTTCTTTCCTAGAAATTGGGGGATGAATAAATCAGGTGCTCTGTAGTGAGGGATTGCTAACTCTCCTGGGACTCTAGTTTGCTACTTGTTTAAACACATATGTAGCAATTTGGATTGTATTTGCTTGCTAAGACTTATTGCCAAGACTCTCAAAATAGGTCATTGTTGTTACCTTTTCTCCCCTTGTGTTTTCAACAGAAAATTTAGAGGTAAAGAGAACTACCTTGTCCAAGATCACATAGTATGTTGGTCTTACACCTTTTGAAGCACACCTCATTTTTTTTATTCCTTGTACTTCTTAGCATAACTATTAGCAAGTGATTAATAAATAACATAATCCTATGTAATAAAAACCTAATATACTAAGTGTCCAACTGTTCTTTCGACCAGTCGCTATGACATGCACTAACCACCAGGGGGAAGATGCTCCAAGGGGTAGTTTAGCTTGCTGCTGTGGTCCAGCCAATCAGAACTGGGCGAGATGATCAGGACTGGGTTAGAAGGGCTAGATACGTCCTGGAGCCCTCCTGCAATCCATCCCCAGCCCCTATTGTGCACCGGTGGGGTCCCTCTGCCTGGCCTGCACCCTCTCGCAATCTGGGACCCCTCGCGGGATGTCCACAGGCTAGGCCGAGGGACCCCCACCGGGCCTCTGGTAGCTAAATAAATACATTTTAACTGTGGGTTGATTGGTTGATCAACTAAATTTCAAAATTCTCATCAGGTTGATCACCTTTTAGACAAATATGTGAGAAAAGTTTTTGGATGGAAGGGACTGAATAGCTATGTAGAAAAGGTTTAGGAATTTAGAATATTTGTGAAAAAATCCCCATGTAAATCCTGTTCTTAATAAAGAAACAGAAAGTTAGCACCGCTAGAGTGGAAACTGGTTAAAAATGTAAGGAGAACCCTAGCTGGTTTGGCTCAATGGATAGAGCGTCAGCCTGCGGACTGAAGGGTCCCAGGTTCGATTCCTGCCAAGGGCACATGCCTGGGTTGTGGGCTCGATTCCCAGTAGGGGGCATGTAGGAGGCAGCCAATCAATGATTCTCTTTCATCATTGATGTTTCTATCTCTCTCTCCCTCTCCCTTTCTCTCTAAAATCAATAAAATATATATTTTTAAAAAAATGTAAGGAGAAACAGGGTGAAAGAGGATAAAAGGACATGGTTTAATGAAGAGATTGGAACAAACAGGCATCTTGCCAGCTTGTTATCATACAGTGAAAATGAAAAATTTTTATTCTTCCCCCAATATTAGGCTCTCCACCACTGCCCCTCCCCAAACCACTATCCAGAGCGGCTGTTAATGACTCTTTGGGCACTAGTGTCTGGTTTTGGGCTGCCATGTGAAGCATGAAGACGTCTTGTGGGGTCATTCAGCTGCAAAGAACAGTTGTCCTTTTGATTTGTTAAATTCTTCCTAACAGTTTTGTTGCTCTCAGATAGTACTGCTAATTCCAATGTATTGTACTGCACATTGTGCAGTAACCCTTCAGAAGGCCCATCTAACTTTTTTTTTTTTAAACATATTTGTATTTATTTCAGAGAGAAAGGGAGAGGGGAAAGAGAGATGGAAACATCAATGATGAGAGAGAATCATTGGCTGCCTCCTGAACGCCCCCTACTGGGGATTAAGCCAGCAACCCAGGCATGTGCTCTTGACTGGAATTGAACCTGGGACCCTTCAGTTCACGGGCCGACGCTCTGTCCACTGAGCCAAACCAGCTAGGGCCCATCGAATTTTTTTAACCTTAAAAAAAACAACGAAAAACAAACTGTTGTTTTTTTGTTTTGGGGCCAATAGTTTGCATCTCATTTGGGATCCTTGTCTCCTTATCTGGCCTCATTGAATTGTACTAATGAATTTTCACTATTTCTGGTTTCAAACTTTTGTCTTCACTAGCTCCCTGTAGTAAACTTTGGTTTCAGACCTGCTTGGGGGAAAGGTTGATTGGGTTTTTTCTTGTTTGTTTTTTGTTTCAGTAAATATGTTCTCTACTTACTCATTATTCTTTATCTTCTTTGTTAAACAGGCCACCAAGCAGTTTCTTGAAGAGATTAACAAGTGGACAGTTCAGTACAACGTTTCCCCTCTTTCTTGGAATGTGGCTGTAAAGTTCCTCATGGCTCGGAAGTTTGATGTGCTCCGCGCCATAGAGTTGTTCCACTCCTACAGGGTATGTAGCTCAGGGTGGACCAGATCTGCTGCAGCTTGGCTCTCTTTGTTGCTATTTTCTTTGCCACGCTTTACAGACAGTGGTTCTGAGTGTCTTCCCCACTCTTATAAAAAAAATAAAAAGTGGGTCAGTATTCAAGAGCCCTACCTTGGGGTCAGAGAATCCTTCTGAAGAGATATCTTTCTAAATTTAAAAAAAAGGAGGGAGAGGGGTAAGAAGCACTAGGATTGGTTTAATTCTAAAGCTCAAGTAGGCCTATTTATGGTTATTTCGTTCAATATTCATTCATTTATTCAACAGAAATTTACTGTATACCTGCTATGTTCCAGGTATAGAGATTACTATTTAGGAAGACAGTAAACAAACAATTATAGAAGTGTTATGATAGGGCAGTACTAGGTTCTGTGGAAGCCTTCCTGAAGGAAATGACTTCTAAATTATGATCTAGCTCTGACCGGTTTGGCTCAGTGGATAGAGCGTCGGCCTGTGGACTGAAGGGTCCCAGGTTTGATTCCGGTCAAGGGCATGTACCTTGGTTGCGGGCACATCCCCAGTGGGGGGGTGTGCGGGAGGCAGCTCATCGATGTTTCTCTCTCATTGATGTTTCTAACTCTCTGTCCTTCTCCCTTCCTCTCTGTAAAAAATCAATAAAATATATATTTAAAAAAAAATTATGATCTAAAGAATGAATAGGGCCTTGGCTGGTTTGCTCAGTGGTTAGAGTGTTGGCCCACAGACCAAAGGGTCACTGGTTTGATTCCCAGCCTAGGGCATGTATCTCAGTTGCTGGTTTGGTCCCCGGCCCGAGTCGGGGAGCAAGCAGGAGGTAACCAATCAATGTGTCTCTCTCCCGTCAATGTTTCTCTCTCTTCCCCTCCTCTCTCTCCCGTCCACTCTCTCTAAAAAAATAAGTCAATGAAAAAAACATCCTCAAGTGAGGGTTAAAAGAAGAAGAAGAAGAAGAAGAGGAAGAGGAAGAGGAAGAAGGGGAAGGGGAAGGGGAAGGGGAAGGGGAAGAGGAAGGAGAAGAAATCAGACAGGGAGATAAAGCTTGCAAAAGTATGGCAGAGAGAACAGCAAGTTTCAGATACCTAGAGAGAAATTGAGCTGAGCAGAAACACTAAGTGGGAGTAGGGGTATGGCAAGAGTTTGAGCAGCAGAGGTAAACAAGGCCAGATAAGGGAGTATCTATCTGCTTTTTCTTAAGGGCAGAGAAATTCATTGAAGGTATAAACAGCAGAATGATTTGATCAGATTTGCATTCTGGAAAGATTTTTCTCACTGTATTTTAGAGAATGGATCATAATGGCTATACTGAAGACAGACCAAATTAAAAGGCTCTTGTACTTGTAGGAAAAGAGATTATTGTGGTGTCTTTAGGCGTAGTGTCAAGTGGGCAGATTCTAGAAGTAAAATTGGTAGGACAGCGTTGCTTAAACTGGTATGTGAGGCAAGAGAAGACTAGGGTTCTAGGTATCTGCCTTGGATGATGGGGTACATGGTGGGGGCATTCACTAATATAGGAGACACTGAATGGTGCAGGTATATGGACAGAGAAGGTCATGAGTTTAGTTTGGCCATGTTAAGTTTGAAGTGCCATTGGGATATCTAAATAGAAATGTCCTCTAAGCAGTTGGAATATGCATTTAGAGTTCAGAAAAGAAATCTGGATACAAGTAGAGCTTTTGGAGTGACCAAAGTAGAGCTGAATATTGGAGCCATGAGAATGGGTGAGGTCATTCTGGAGAGTGTGAGGAATAGGAAGACATGTAGGGCAGAATCTCACCTCAGACTTTTTGCTTTTCTTGGTTGAAAAGTTGTTTTATAGGTTGAATTTGAATGCTTTATGTAGGGCATGCACTCTCCTGTGATCCAACCACTGACATAGTCTTCATTTGCTACTGAAGGCATTTGAATTTGCTTTTAGAGAAAGATTAGGAAGACCTGGTTTGTTTTATTTTATTTTATTTGTTTTCAGAGTTTAGGACTTTTAATTTGTCCCAAAGCTGCTGAAGCAAAATCATGATAAGACATTCTGTTTTCCATTATACCCCCAACACACACACACAAACACACACACACACACACACACACACAAACTATTTGTCAGGAAAAAATGGTTTTGTACATGAGAAGAAACAACATAAATTCAACACTGACAGATAAGGGTTAGCTCTATCACTCATCTCTTTAAAATGTTTATACGAATGAATATCCAGTCAAAACCAACAGGGTATCTCCTTTGAAATGTTATCTAAATGGATTTCCAAGTAGACCACAGGACTGTATACTGTCTTGGAATATTCTTAGAAGGCTCTGTCATTGATCAGGTAACAGTAAAAACACCAGAGTCCTTCTTTCAAATGGAAGAGGGAAAGAGGGATAGAAGAAACTAATCAAACTTCGTCTTCTTTCCTTGTGACTTGTGATCACCTCCTCCTCCTCTGCCTCCTAGGAATCCTGCTCGACCTCCAAAACCTCCCCAGCTTCTGCCACCAAATCCACCTTGGCCTCTTCTGCCACCACCTCTGCCTCTGCTGTGATCCCCAAAGCCACCTTCACCCTTGGGCTTGGCCGAGTCCAAACTAACTTTGTTTCAATCAATTTCACTGCCTTCCATGGCCTCCTTGGTGGCTTTGGCGTCTTCCTCACTGTTGAAGTCTACAAAGCCAAGCCCTTTGGAAGAGGCTGTCTCCCGGTTGGTGTCTATGCTTGCCTGGGCAGAGCCATCAGATGACTTCTTCAATGTCTCCTCTGTAGTCTCCTCAGACAGACCTTTGACAAATAGAGTTTTGGATGGATGGCTTTTTGCATTAGGCGATCCCCTGGGTCCTTGCCATTCCAGCCTGATTGCTCTGCCCTCTATTTCTCTTTTATTACAGGAATTTAAAGCTTCTTTAGCATCTTCAAATGAAGCAAATTCTATAAATGTATACCCTTTAGATTTGCCAGTTTGGTTCTGGGGCACTTTGATAAAAGCTGCCTTCTCAAATACTTCCTGAAGAGTTTCTTCTTTTGCACTGTAGGAAAGGTTGCTTAAAACCAGTGTTTTTGATTCACCACTCCAAGTGCTATTCTTTCCACCTCTATGGTCTTGATTTTGACCTTTCTCTCCCATATAGCACAGGGAAGTGGATCGCCCATCCATTAATGTTCTCTGCTTTTCTTCCAAAGTTTTCTCTGCATTAGCTTCTGTCTTAAATTCAATATAAGTAATCCCTTTAGTCTTTCCATCCTTGCTGACTAATATGATCTCCATAGCATCTTCAAACACTTCTTTTAATTCGTCCTGAGTAACTTTATAAGGCAAATTGTTCTTGCATCTCGATCTTTTTTTACTGTTTTTTCCCTTTGGTTTTTCTACTTCAATTTTATTGCCAAAGACTTTTATTTTTTTTACTAGAGGCCCGGTGCACAAAAATTTGTGCACTCGGGGCGGGGGGATCCCTCAGCCTGGCCTGTGCCCTCTCGCAGTCTGGGACCCCTCGGGGGATGACCACCTGCTGGCTTAGGCCTGCTCCCCGGGGGATTGGGCCTAAG